AAAGAAGATGATTGTCACTGACCAGTAAAGAAGCAGGGAAGTGTTCCTGAAGTAACGTTTTGGAGAGAAGGTGAATCAGTTTTGAATTCTCACTCATCATTGAGAGCAGAGTCATTAATAATAAGAATAAGAAGAGGTTGGATTTTTACCCCGCCCTTCACTCGGAGTCTCAGAGTGGCTTACAAGCTCCTTCCCCTTCCCACAACAGACAGACACCCTGTGAGGTGGGTGGGGCTGAGAGAGCTCTTGAGAGAACTGCCCTTGAGAGAACAGCTCTGAGAGAACTTGTGACTGACCCATGGTCACACCAGCAGGTGCAAGTGGAGGAGGAGTGGGGAATCATACCCGGTTCTCCCAGATTAGAGTCCGCGCACTTAACCACGACACCAAACTGGCTCAGGGCATAGCTGCCCATGCCTGTGACCAGAATCTTTGTAGACCCTCATCTGACTGACTCAAATCCAAGCATGTGAAGACAGAACCACTACGTTCTCACCATGTTCCCATTTGGTTTGCCTGAATTAATTTTGTTACCTTTTGACTCTGAGGAATCTGGAAAGTTGACTTTTTGTGACGTTTCCTTGTAAAATACAAGTTAATAGCTGGGGGATTTTGTCTAGACAAGTGCATTTAATGTGGTGCATTCAACTAATTTTTCTGTCAGATTCTGAGTATTTATGTAACGTGACCTTTTCCTCCGTTCCTTGACTGAGGAGGATAGATAACAAAATCGAGTTAATGAAAGTTTACCTCACTCTATTAGCCGCTGTCTGATACTGAGCGGACCCTTTCGCCACCTCCTGATTGCACCCCCGCTGCTTTGTACTTTTATCTCTGTGACTTCAAATGTTCTAGTTTTTATCCTTTTGATGGTTTATGATTCCACGGCTGAAGCAAAATCTGCAGAGTGCGTGCGTGGACACGCTTTCCCCTCGGCCCCTGCACAGGTGGATTGAAACTCACACAAAGGATGTTTTGAAGGAATTCCTTCCCCTGACGAGAAACTATGTGTGTGTCCAGTATGGCCCCTGGTAACACTTTTATAATAGGAGTGACGTATTTTAAACATAGAAGCAAAACTATCCCTTTAGAAAGTCTTCTGTGACATTACGCTCTGTCCATTCTGTGGTATGATTATTTATGTTTTATGTATGTACCCCACCTTCTGCCCAGTCGGCTTTGTAAGAAAGAAGAAAAACTATGTAAAAAATAGACACAGAGAGTACGCCTTTTCCTACCGATTTAAAATTTCCTGCCTTTCCAAATATACGTATGCCCCATCCCTGCATGACGTAGGACTGTTGCCAGGTTCCCAGTGGACCACATGAACCCACATGAAGCTGCCTTGTACTGAACCAGACCCACCCCCACCCCCCGGGTCCTCCATCAAGGGCAGCATTGCCTACTCAGGCCGGCAGCAGCTCTCCAGGGGGTCCTGGTCGGAGGTCTCTCACGTCACCGGCTGTTTTGTTCTTTCAAATGGAGATGCCGGGGAGGGATGCCAAGCAGACGTGGGTTGTCTTGGTATTGGTTTGTGATTTCATTTGATTTCTTGGAGCTGCACTTTAACTGTTTTAATGGGTTGTAACCTGTCCTGAGCCCACTTGTGGGGCAGGGCGAGATAGAAGTATAAATAGATGAGTACATAAAGCCACAGCCCCTCCCCCAGGTTAATCATATCAGGTAAATCATATCAGTAACTGGCTGTCAGCTATGGTGCCACGATGTTTATGGGCAGGAGTGCATCTGCTTGACCTGCTCCTTATTATCTCTGACCTTGTAGGCTGCCTGTGTCGGGTCTTCCCATCAATTACCCCTGGGACTAGTTTCGATTCCCAGCTTTGGCTTTAATGGCCTGGGGCCCCTTTCTCCCTTGCGCAGGAGTCAGGCCGATTGGCCTAGGGGTGGGGTGTGTGTGTGTGCATACGAATACCCTATATCCCATTATGCTTGTAGGAACGTAGCCATTCCTAACAGTGACGAGGTTACTGCCTCTATAGCTCTGGCAATAAAGTATAGCCTTATGATAAGCGTGGACTCAGTTGTTTGGCTGTGGAACCTGACACCGGCCTGCCGAGAAGAACAGAATGACTCCCCCGATAGCATCTCCAGGTAAAAAGGACCAGGCAGGAGGGGATGGGGAAGACCTTTGCCTAACACCCTGGAGAGCTGTAAAGTGGGGCAGAGCATCTGCTGGGCATGCAGAAGGTCCCCGGTTCAGTCCCTGGCAGCACCTCCAGTTAAAAGGACCGGGCAGGAGGTGATGTGGAAGACCTCCGCCTGAGACCCTGGAGAGCTGTCAAGAGGGGCCGTGGCTCAGTGGCAGAGCCTACGCTTGGCATGCAGAAGGTCCCAGGTTCAGTCCCCAGAAGGCATCTCCAGTTAGAAAGGACCAGGCAGGAGGTGATGGGAAAGACCTCCGCCTGAGACCCTGGAGAGCTGTCAAGAGTGGCTGTGGCTCAGTGGCAGAGCCTCTGCTTGGCAGGCAGAAGGTCCCAGGTTCAATCCCCAGAACCTCCAGTTAAAAGGACCAGGCAGGAGGGGATGGGAAAGACCTCCGCCTGAGACCCTGGAGAGCTGTAAAGAGGGGCTGTGGCTCAGTGGCAGAGCCTCTGCTTGGCAGGCAGAAGGTCCCCGGTTTAGTCCCCAGAAGGCATCTCCAGTTAAAAAGGCCCAGGTGGGAGGTGATGGGAAAGACCCATCTCTGCCTGAGACCCTGGAGAGCGGCTGCCAGTCTGAGTAGACGAGACTGGCCTCGATGGACCAAGAGGGGGGGTCTGACTCAGTACAAGGCAGTTTCGTGTGTGTTCATGTGTTCAAGCCACCTTAAGTATGAATACCCTTGAGTACTTCCCGTTTCCCCAGGCAGTGAGGATTTCCCCAGGCAGTGCTGTGTGGTTCTTCTTTGTCTGACTGAGAGAACAGTGGGGAAGCGAGTGGCTTTGTAACATTTGCTTTACTCAGAGTAGGCACAAGGAGGATACTGGAAGCAAATACACTCCTGCAAGCAGACAGCGCAACGGCTTCCCTGCACTGGACCCCGGGGGGAAGAGCACCTGCGCAGCGCCCCCGTCCCCCC